TATTAACATAGTAAAACTAAATATAATTTGGAAGACAACCCGAATAACATTGAGATGAAGTTTAGTGAATACAAGATTGGGAAAAGAAAAACTTCATACCAAGACTTTGGCGAACAGCTTTTTTAAGGTCATTTTGGAACCTTTCCTCATCATCTTCCTCGGCTTGTAACTGTCTCAAGGTTTTCGTTCCATTGTCTCCCAAAGAAGGATTATCTAATTTGTAACAAGTAGCACAAGATCGTGTTAGACACTTACTCCTCGAATGATAAATTATAACATATCTTACAAAATACCCATAAAGTAGCATATGTTGATTCCCAAGAAAGCATACCATATAAGTAGAAGAATTATATAATTTTGCATGTGGGACACCTTTTTTTGTGATAAGAAACAAAACTTTATTGATACAATCAAAAATATTACAAAAGGCTAAGTTGGACAAGAGATCCAACCTCAATAAAACAAACTACAAGGTTGTGAAAGAAAACAACATTTAGACAAAAAACTATCAAATATGTGATATCCTCAAAATCATTCGTGACTGAGGCCCATAAGGATGCCAAAATAAAGATATTGTTCCATAAACCATCAACCATCTCGCTTCGACCTTCAAAAATTCGAGCATGTGGGACACTTTGCAGCATGTCATATTTTATAGTTCAATTTGCACCTTATTCAATGTTAGCTTCAGGTTAATAAGCTGCTCCAATTCCTTATTTAAGTTTTCTTAGGTACCTTGTAGTCACAAGTATTTTAGTTTTTTTTTTTTTTGGATGGGAAACAACAATTTATTAATAATAAAGAGAAACATTACAAAAAAAAAAACCACATCAAGTGTGGACAAGAGATCCAACACAAGACTGGCCAATTAGAACCCTAAAAAAGAAAAAGAGCAATCAAAATTACAAGCCACACAAGATGCTTGTCTGCGTGTTCTAATACAAAAAAAGGAATATCTTGAAACCCCTTGGACAATGAAGTCCAAAAAGAGGCCAAAAAATATAATATTTACCAAAACCCCTCAAAATCTTCACATTTATCTTCAAAAATGCTCATATTATGTTCCTTCCAAACTACACAAAATGTAGCAAATAAAGTGTTGTGCCAAATGGTCTTCCAGATTATATTTCCCCCACACCCCATATCATCCAAACAAAACATAGAATTCATATTCCTTGGAGCAACCCAAGCAAAGCCCATAACGTCAAAAAGTTTGTTCCATAATGCTTGTGCCAAAGAACAATGCAAAAATAAATGATCTACACTCTCATTCTTGCCTCTACACATTACACACCATTGCGGTTGAAGACAATAATCAGTTCTCCTCTTTTGAAGAACCTCATTAGTACTAATCTTCTCATGAGAAATTATCCATACAAACTTGCACTTTTAAAGGCACCGTCCCTCTCCAAATTCTCAATGATGGATAGAATAAAGGAAGCAAAGAATCATCTATAAGAAACTCAAAAAAAAAGACTTACAAGAAAATAGCCCTGAAGAATGACCAATCCAATACCTCATATCCTTAGAATTTTGAACCAAAGTAATAGTATTGAGCAAAGAAAGAAGACTCTCCAATTCTGAAACGTCCCCATCATTGAAATTCCTACACAATCCAAAATCCCAAGAAAGTGGACTCAAATGTGATCTAACCATAGATACAACCAATGAATCATGATAATCAAAAACACGATACAAACGTGAAAAGAGACTCAAAAAAGAAGACTCCCCAACCCATATACGCTCTCAAAAATGCACTTGAGTTCTATCTCCTACAATGAACTTGACTCTCTGAAAAATAAATCTCCACGAACTCCACAAGGAGCCCGTTTCAACCCCATTGGCATCCCACTCAGTAGCCTGTAACCCATATTTGCTCCTAATAACTGCATGCCACAATGAATTTTGCCAACCAGAGCTACATTTCTTTTTACCAAATTCCCAACCAAAAGCCCACCTTTTTCTTTTGACCTAGTAATTAAATGGTCATTCATCCCCTTCCACGCCCCTTACCAAGTTACATTTCTTTTTAGTATTTTTTTTTATAGAAAAGATGTCTGAGATATATTAATAGAATATACAAATACATCACTGAGGTTGAACAAAGAACCAACCATGAAAAAAAACTACAACAAAAGAAAGAAATAAAAATCAGAGCTCTAAATCACATGAAGCTCTCCAATTCATCAAAATAACAAAAAGTAGAGTATCTTTAAAATCTTTAGACACCGAAACCCAAAATGAAGCTACAAAATGAATACGATTACATAGCCTTTCAAATATTTTACTTCTATGTTCAAAAATTCTTGAATTCCTTTCCTTCTCTATAAGACCCAAAAAAATAGCGTGTCACACATTTCCACAACGTAAACTCCTTAGCATGCCTTTCAAATCCATTTAATTCTTCAAAAAACAACGACGTAGATGATTTGAGAATAACCCAACCAAACTAGACAGCTGAAACCACAAAGACAAAGAAATAGGGCACTGAAGAAAAGATGATCAATACGCTCCACATCACCCTTACACATCACACACCACTAAGGAGAAAAACATCTATTAGATCTTCTTTTCTGAAGCATATCAATGGTATTAATCTTTACATGTGCAACAGCCCAAGAAAAAACTTGCACCTTAATTGGCACTTTAGCCTTCCAAATTAGCGAAGCTGGAATAAAGATAGGACAAGAAGATTCTTCCATTAAATAAGCAAAGAAGGATTTACAAGAGAAAATACCCAAAGAATCAATTTTCCATCTTCTTTGATCACATAACTTTTGATTCAATGAAGAACTATTACGCAAAATAAGAAGAGACGTCAACTCCATAGATGCCCCATCGTCTAAATTCCTACAAAAACTAAAGTCCCAAGAATATGGTTGATCATAAGATCTCACCATGGAAACAATGGATTCACCCTGAAAGGATGATAACAGAGAAGTTCATAGATTGCATTACAGTATTTTAGTATTTTCCATAACTACTAGACCTGGATAAAAATACTATCCATAGTTCAAGGATCTTGATTTGGATCTATTTTTAAATTACTTGAGTTTTAAGTGGAGTCCCCATAGAGAAAGTATAAATTGAATTTTGTATATTTGCTTGTGAAACTTAAGTTTCATTGATTCTTTATGTAACATTACCCTACATCCCTCCCCACAAAAAAGTATGTCTGAAACTTTAATACTCTCCATCAAATATACTTTAAAAGTGAAAGTGGCCATTAAGGTTGAAAACTTGATGAAGTGCTCATAATCAGAGTAGATCATCCTCCCTTAGACAAATCCTGCCTCTTCCACACAGCCAGACTCTTCTTGAACCACTCAAACCACTGAATCCAATACTGCTTTAACTTTATGTGAAAAACCAACCAAAAACCTAATTAAGAAAAATATGGAATAACAAAACACCAATGATAATGATAAGATATAGAGGATGAAGCTTCATTATTATCTAATGCTCCCTGCAAATGCTGTTGAACAGTAGAACTGATCAGAAATTCACACATCAAAATGAAAGTCCCTAATTTCACAACAGCAACAGAAAAGGTCAATGCAAATGAGAAGATTCCACAAATCATGCAAAATGAATTAAATATGATTGATTCAATTCAACAACTTCTTTAGGATATACGCCTTTCAACCAAAAGAGAAGATTGTGATGGAATAAACATCCTTGAGCCATGAAAAAGTAAATATAAGTGATTCTACTAATCATTTCAAAAAAGATAACATCTTTATGCTAGTGAAATCTAACATAAAATCGTTTGTCAATCAATGGGTGAAGAGACCGTCAACCCTATAAACCAACCTTGGGTGGTCCCAATTTTTCCATGTAGGATACAAGCTCTCTTACACCCTCCCCCACGTGAAACTTAGACTCGCATGTGGACTAACAAACAAATATGCAAATCAGGAAATTCAAATGTGAGAGACTGACCCACTAACCAACCGCCCAATGCCTGTGATACCAAGTTAGGAACATCCAATTAAAAGACAATTAGCAATGAGTGGAGACCCTTCAACATTATAAACCAAACTTGGGCATACAAATTTTCCTTTACACTTTTGACACAAGGGAAATTCACTGGCAAGACAAAAATAAAGCAACAAAAAAAGCCTCTTTCCTCTGTTAGGAGAAAAGAAAAGGAACCCAATTGAAGAACCCTGGTGGAGGAAAAATATCATTCTCAAAGATGAATCCACATGGAATTTAACTAAAACCTATGGTGTCCCAGTTCCTCATTTTTCTCCAAAAAGAAGGATTGAAGGGTAAGAGGTTGCAATGACCGAGAGCCACAAGTCAATCAAGCTGCCACCCTTGGTTTTTGCAGAACTTAATAAATTTATTTTCTTATGTTTTGGTGACAAAGGGGTATTACAGTGAAATTCTATCATACACCAAAAAGAAATGGAAAGGAAAACTTCGGTGTCGCTTCTGGCTTCCAAAGAATCTAGTTGAGGCAGAAGGACCCCGCATTTCCTAATTGGGACACCAAAGTAATTCAACAAATATCACATTTCAAGATTTTTTCAGTCTAGAAAACCATCCAGCACTGACCAATGGCCATGATAGACAGTTAATCATTTACTTTAAAGCTTCAGCTTTTATAACCCCAAAATTATAAAAAAAAAAAAAATATATATATATATATATATATATATATTAATAAAAGTGTATCTGTAAGTAGGACTCGCATTAAAAAATGTGTATTTAACAAAAGAAGGAAGAAAAACTGAAAGAAAAGAGATAGACAGAGAAGCTTATGCTCTCCTCTTAAACATCAGCAGGTTAAGGTCGACAAAACAATAGATGCTGACACAGATTACTGTCCATCCAAGATGATTCCAAGACTGAATACAAAATTTTGATCAACTTAAAAGATCAGGAACAATCATGTGTACTAAAAAATTGCAATTGAAAAGCAACTTTGGCACCATAATGATCATGAGTGGCAAGCCAGAGTTCAAAGTACATCACCATAAACAAAGAGTAGTCTACGCTTTAGAGACAAGCAAGGAAAATAAGTGAAAACTAAGAGGAAAAAACTTACTGCTCTCAACATGTAAACTGTCCCTGGGTTTTACTTGTCCAATCTCAATATTTTCCTTCTCAGATGGCGTGGGTTGATACTTTCCGTCAATCAATTTGGTCGTATTCTTTGTCCGTCTTCTCCTTCCTGTCCTTCGATCAGAGGACAAAACACCATCTTCTGGAATTCCTCCATTTGGTATGCCTGCAAAAGAGGAAGAATGATTGCATTCCAAGATAGCATGTTTTGGAGCCTTGCAATATAATTACAAACCTTGTTTAACTTTCGTATCATAGCATATGTGAGTACTATCAGTCCTTTGTGTAGCACCATCTGCAGTGCTTCTCGGCAGACCTTCCAAAATGTTTATGAATCCATTCTTCTGTGTCAAGGGCTCCTAAAGCACAAATTTGTAAGTTACCCTCTATTGTCATATGAAATTTCTTGACCTATAAATCAAGTAACGTATATTCTCCTTTGTGTATTCCAAGTAGAGAATAAGAAACACGAACATTTACATCGTGCCAAGCGCAGAGAGAACCCCAAAACAAGGTGTGCTCACCTGCTTATAATGTTTCAACTTCTCACGTTCATCTTGATCATCATTGCCCTGCTTCAAATTAGCATTGGGCAGTCCAACAGAAACCTCCTTCTCAGAAACTGTTATTGCAGTTTTCTTATGTTGCTCGGCTAGGTGCTTGAATTTAGCCTCATCTTCGATTCGTCTTTGATACGCCAAAGTTTCTTCAAGCTTCCTTTCCTCTGCTTCAAGCTCTATCCTACGTCTAAATTCCTCTTCCAGTTGATTTAAGGCATCATCACTCCCAGGAACAAGTATTTCAGTATCTGAAAGGTCACCATCATATGCAACTGAAGGAGAGCTGCAAAGAGACAGACATTTGAAGAACATCAATAAATAAATTTATCCTAATATTCCCATTATAGTGAACAACTGCTTTTGTGAATGTGTGTAGATGTGCATCTCAGAGCAGGAGATTCATACTTCTGTTCAGCGACCTCATGGTTAAGCATATGCAGCCCGTTATTACCAGCAGGCTGTAAAAAGTAATATGAACTACATCAGTCCTAAATCATTTATGTCAATAAACTAGCACCTCCGTGAAACAAAACAAAGTCTGATCATACAGTTCAAACCTTTGAATCCTTGGTTTTTCTGTATTCCTTATTCTTTCTCTTATCTTTAGTCTTCTCATGTATATGTCTAGAACTATCACTTCCTCCAGCACTGCCCTTCTTAGAATCAAGAGCAAGTTCTGCTAAAAATGCTTCTCTAGCAGCATCAGATTTCTCTGTGGCATCTTTCTCTGCCAAATCCTCCAAGTGTGCCTAAAAGAAGATAGCAAAACATATTAAACAATTCATGAGATCTCTAACATGTAGGCAGCGGGGGCCAGGGAGAGAAGAGGTGGGGAAGTTTTGGAAAAAGTTAAGAACATTAAAATAACAAGAAACATATCCAATACGGACCCGCATGTATGATTTCACCAAAGGCACCAGAATTGCCCGATAATCGTGCATAGAGGCAGGATCAAGCTTAGCTTCCAACTGCTGCATGCCAGTAACATTTCGCATGATTCTTGCATCAATTTTGCTGAGCTGCATCACTAAACAAGTGAGAAACAGTGGGAAGAGTACAAAAATAAGTTTCGTATAAAAAGAGTATCAACAACTGACAGACCAACCTCAATAGACACTTGCTCCTTCTGTCTTTGGATTGCAACTTCTATGCAAGAGTCCACTTGATGCAGATAATCCTTCGTTCTCCATTCATCATCTTCACCAGATTCCAAGTCAGAGAGATGTGAAGTGACGCCATTATAAGTTTCCTCAAATCCAAACTGATTGACATTCAGAGATTCTGCTTCTTTAAGAACATTGGATATCGCATCCAACTCAAACCTATTGCTGATAAACATGGCATCATTGTCATTTTCAATGAGCTCTTCTCGCCGTTTCCTTAAGACAGATTCATAACTTCGGCGGACAAATTCAGTGACATGCTCCCTTGTCTTACTTTCTTCAAGACAAAGATCCTCCACTCCCTGTAATGCCTCCTCATAGCTTAAATGCTCGCATTTTCTCTCACACAAGCTTTGCAAGTGGTAAAATTCCTTCTCAAGCATCTGAAGAATTTCAATCCCTTGATTTGCTTTCTCTTCTCTCATATGCGTCCAGGATGCCAATTGTTCCCCACTTGTAGGACCTCTAAATATCCAGGATAATAAAGAATCGGCATCCAGTACAACCTCACTATGATAGCTAGCATTAGCAGACGTTGCTGCAGTTGCATCATCAGTGGCAGCATCACGGCATGTGGAGGGTGTGATACTGCATGGCAAGAAATGCTCATCCAACAACAGACACGATGCATCTTCATTGAGAAATACCTTCTCTGTGATTTTGGCACTCTGAATGGCACTCTTTGAATCATCCATGCCATTACCTTTCTCAGAATATCTACCTATTCCACAAGAATGAGATAGCTCTTGCAAAAATTTAAGTATTTTCTTAAGCTCAGGAGCTCCCAAAAAGCAGATGCATAGGGGTGTTTGATCCACACCATAGCTAAGAAGCTGAGAACCAGAGGCCAGACTCTGCAGTTCCTCCCCTGCAAATTGTATCACCTTGTTCACATGACTAGCAGCAAGGTATTTATGTTTAATAAATGCCTCAAATATAACATGGATTCTTTCGAGGATCTTTCCACGCTCAGCATCATCAGACAATGGCCAGCTATCGGGAAGAAAATATGTCTTATAAATTTGATTTCCATCACATTCCCTCCGTGCAATGTCAGAGATCGTATCACATTCTCCACTCTCCACAGTACTACCATTGCAGCTTTCCTCCAATTTCTTTTTCCTAGGGGATGAAACCCAGTCGTTTTCAGAGCAGAAACTGTCCTCGAAAAAGTCCTTACACTCTCCTGTATCCTTTCTGGGATAAGCCTCATCAAGAAACTCAGGAGCTTGGGATTTTGATTGGTTTTTTAAAATTTCAACCGCAGCCTGGATGTCCAGTGGTTTCCAAGAGCAATTGAGAAGCATATCAACCCACTCATTTTCCAAATTCTGAGGCAGAATTGACTGCAATTTGGGCAGAAGGCTCCCCATATGGTCTTGCACAATATGTTGAATATATGATTCAGAGTTGGTGAATTTCTCACTGCAACGACAACACATCCAAAATTTCCACGATTTATTAGCAGAGGCAAACGACAAAGCTTCTGTCAGGATTTGATTTGGCAGGCCATCCTTGGACGAATTGAAATGAGCCTTAAGATCTGAAACCCTTATTTCAAGTAACTCTCTTTTCAGATCCAAAGTCATTGAACTCCAATAAGATCGAACCCCGTCCCTTCTCTCTGCCGAGGATGCATTTTTCCTCGTATTCCCACTCTTTCGTCGCTCACCCACTTTCTGACCAGATCCCAACGATGAATCCAAGCTCTTATCCCCATCATTCTGCGACTGTGGTGACTCCGACTTCTGCTGCAACAGTCTCGCAGCAGCTACCCGAACTTCTATCTCCTTCCTCCTCTCCTCAGGGGTCTTCGTCGCCTTCTTTATCTCATTCGGCCTTCTTGCCTGGACCAACCTCAACTCCATCGGGTCCTCTGACACCCTCCTTATTGGAATCAACCTAAACTTCTCCTCCCCATTTCCCAAATTCTTCATCCAAGTCGAAATGGAGGCGATATTAGACTTTTGAATTAAACTTCTGAGCTCATTCTGCACATGCCCAATTCGCGCTTCGGGTGTCGATATTTTCTGCTGAGTCTCATCTTGCAGACTCTCCGTACCTGGGTCCACTGGATTCTTAATCGCCAAAGCCCTCTCACACTCTTGTACCACGTCCTCATATTCTTTCCCTTCATTGGAGGCCTCATACAATAAATTAGCATAGAAATGGGAAAACTCAATTGAATTTGGCGATAACGACACTGACTTTTTCGCACTCTCTATCGCATTTTTCAAATGTCGTTGTTTTGAAGCAGGATCATCGATAATCGAGGCCACTTTCACGCACACTGTGCCTTGGACTCGATTAATCAAAGCCGAATAACCCGAATTTTCGTGTTTCACACTCAGGTCCTTCATCAACCTAAGGGCTTTTGTGTGGTTTCCACGGCGAAGAGCAGTTAGGGCTCGCTCGCATTCGAGCTTGATTACAGAGTAAGACGAACCGTCCGATTCAACAGAAGACGACGTTTCATTCTTACTCTGATGTTTCTGTTCTAAAATTGGGAGATTTGAACTGTTCAGGATTTTCTCGGTGTCAGGCGAACTGGGAGGACAACCTTCGGCGTTGGTGATTGCGCCGCCAGAAACCACCGCCGTTGGTGAGGGCTTGGAGCGAGAAACGGCCACGTTTCGCTTCTTGTGCCCCATATAAGTTCACAGAATTCTATAGCAATCTAATTTCATGAATACATATGCATGTATAGGTATATATATATATATGTAGAGAGAGAGAGAGAGAGTAAGTGTCGATACTTACTTTGTAGATAGAGAGAATGGGAAGGTTAAGATGGAATCTAGAACGGAGAGAACAAGACGACGGTGGTCTTGTTCGGAGATCGATCGGCGATGATACATATAGAGTGGGTCTGTCTCTTCTCTCCTTCTCTGTATCTATATGTATCTGTAAAATATACACACCTAACCAGAGTGGGGTAGGGGCTAAGGTTTAGATTGCGCTTCCGCCGTGTGTGTGTGTGTGTGTGTGAGAGAGAGAGAGATTCTCTAGAGAGGACTATGTTATGTTGATGATGAGAAAATGGGGATTAAGAGAGGCAAACACATTGATTAAGTAATGCGATAATTGTTTTTTATTTTTTTTTCTCATTTTTTAACTTTTTTTCTCAATTATTACTATTACCTTTCTTTATCTCTATTATTATTCCCAATAAATAACACATGGTTACGTACAAAAAGCATAATTAATTTTTATAACAATCCATAATCGTCACACCCATTGGATGGGTACTGTAAATTCTAGAGGTTTGTACTTACTCATAAATTAATCGCATCGAGTCAATTAATATTTCCGTCTCACAACTCGAATTTAAAACTTATATTGACATAAGTCTATCTCTTTCCATTTTACTATAAAAGTAAAATCGGCGTTATAGTTAACTATCAACGAATAATCGGTTATTGACATCGTTCCAATTACCCTACTAAGTAAAAATTTTAATTTTTACCCTCAATATTATGAATTAATTAGTTCAATTTCTATCATAAATTGAAGCACATAAGTTACAAGTGCTTCGAACATGAGGAAGAGGTGTGTTCATTGCTACAGATTTTCGCCTGTGATTAATTTAACATCGTTTTATGTATCAAAGATAAGATTTTGTTAATCAAATAGTGATTAAATCTATCATGTACAACTCATATAAAATGTTTAATAGTCTATGAATTTATAAATAAGCACAAAGTCAAAGCACTTCTACTCACGTATTTTAATTTATGACAAAAAACTAAATGGTAGTTTGAGTAAAGTCCATATTGTTACAAATTCATAATGTTAAGTAATACAAATTGAAAATTGAAGTATTTTTTGAGGTGCAAAGTGACATTAGTACTGCCAAATTTAAGAACTATAAACCAAATAGAGTAAATTTAGAAAAAAAAAAAAACTTCCCATGTCCATATAAAATTATTGAAAAAAATGATGGTCTTCATGAGAATTTTCAGCGTTTGATAATGGGTCAATTATTCTCAAACAAAACAAAGACATTTAAAATGTTAAATATAAATAAAATCACAAATCTAAATTCAGTTAACCTTAAATTTCAAGTCAAGTGACACCCTTGATGTGTTTTTCGCTGGTTGCATTGACCCGTCGTTATAGTGGAATCTATGTACAAGCATTTATATTACGTTTGTTGTAAGGTAAGAAAAATAGGTATTTTATATTTCTCTTTATCTGTTTTCAAACAAATACCTTCTAGAAAAAAATTACCCATATGATACGTATATGAAATCGAAATTAAAATTGATGGTATGTGTTACACGATTGAGCAAAGTCGTGGTCTTTGAAGGCTTGGGGATCACCGAAAGGCCTAGTCAAAACTCTTAAACTCTTGAAGATTGAATATTGTATGGTTTGAGATTACAAATAGAGGATTTATAGTAATTCATTAGTTCGAGAGTTTGGTTAATCCACTCTTACAAGAGTCTCTTATTCTTGAGAGAGTTTTTTATTGATAAGTGGAAAGATTTTTACAAAATATTTTAGCAAACTCTTACTTGTGTTTCACTACGAGGGATATACCTCTTATTTATAGCTTTCAAAAATCTTGTCTGATTTCTTGGTGCGATCTTTGTCATTTCTTTGTAAAAGATACGTTTTTTTTGCGTAGTTATCATAGATGATACTGAGACGATTGTGGCTCACTAGCCTGAACGCTGGACTGTTGCGATTTACACATAGTCTCCTGATGGGAACCAACTGTCATCCCTGTCATTCCCCCAAGGACTTTGCTGCTGCAGATCCAAACCTGCGCACCTCCAATTATTTGCCATGAGCTACGTCGTTTGAGTTCAAATGGCCGAGATGTGTAACCGAGCTCAACCTTAATTAAGTTTTGGGTATCATCAAAAAAAATTTTAAACTTCAAGATATATATAAAGATCAAGGTTTATCAAAAAATTCAAAATTCAATCAGAAAAGTGGAAGTGAATACTTCAAATAGAAAAAAAATTAAAAATAATCAACACGAGATTTACATTGTTCAATTGAAATTCTGCCTATGCAATTATTTTACTATCTCAGAATCATTGTAGGGTTACAACTTATTTATAAACACTGGTTAGTAATTCTAATTCTTGTCAAACTAAGAAACTTAATCTAATCTCGATAAAATTATATATGATATATACTAAAAAGTCTCAATATACTCGATTGTACTCTAGTCATAGTGAAAATGAGTCATCCACCATTCCTAGAATTCTCAAAATATTTTATTTTTTTCAAAATCGAAGAAGATTGTAATCAAAGTCAGAAGTTTTCCAAGGCGTTATTTGTAAATCCATTTAGATGATTAACGTAAAAATGCAGCTATTAAATAAATGTTGGTGGCTCATCTTTTTCTATATTTTGGCAGAGTGTTGCTATTCATACAAGTTAACTCTATTTATTAGGATTCTCACAACCTTAATTAAGGCATCCCTGAAATCCTTGGCTAAGCACAGAGAGAGAGAAAGAGTACAAACCCCATAGTGTTAAATTTACTGATAAAACTGTTTGTGGGTATGACACAACCTTGCTATCTAATTCATAATCATATGCTTTGATGATTAACATAAAGCTATGACATTAAAGGAACTTTTATACCGACCAAAAAGTGCAGTAGAAATTAGCAAGTTGAATGTTTTATATTTATGTGATTGATGCTTCTGTAATAAAAGCCAAAAGGTTCCACATTTACTTCAGCTACCACATTAAGCATCCAATACAACTTACTCTGATGAAGCTAAACACCTCAGTTGTTGCACTTGCCAAACACATACGAACAAATAGAAGTTAGGGGCAAGTGTAGGGTACTATACCCAATATATAACTTTTAAGCATTGGCTTACGATTAGGTGTGATTTGATTCGTTATAGCTTGATCTTTAAAAAGTATAACTTAATTTTTAAATATTATACTCTCGTGATTAAACATAACATTTTGTTATTGATTATAAATTTTTTAGAGATAACTGTGTAAAGTGTGTGGAGATATGCCCCTCTCATATGGAGAGGGTTTATAATTTATAGGCACAAAACCTTGGTTGAGGCGGTGGCGTGAAGGGATAAGTGACTAGTCCTTCGGAGTAGATAACTGTAACTAAGGATTTGTACAATTAGATATATTCTTGATCTTGGAGAGTGACTATCCTGCTAATTACCTTTTATGTGCGCTAATCTTCCAGCACTCCTTAAACTTTGGTGTAGGCCAAACTCTATGAGCTGGGACTTGACCTACTTTGTAGCTAATTTAAGCTAGCTTAATTAATTGGGCCAACCCCAATTGAATCTGGCTCATCAACAACTGCAGCCAGTTCATGGGTGCTTGTAAAAGTAAAGAAAAACTACAAGTCCACAACAACTAGTCAATGTGGTGAATGGAACTTCCTGTGCCTTTAATAACCTGCCGAGATTCCATCAAGTGACCACAGATAAAAGAACCCACTGAATTTAAATTACCTGCACACCATAATTCAAATGCAATACCAATGCCTGAGGCAATACAAGTCCCCTCTTGCTCTCTCTATCTTCACTGTGCATTAGTTCTAAGAAGTTTGCTTACATGATCCTTGACATTCTGGCCATCAGGTCCTGATGGGGCCCATGCGGGTTTGGACAGTAGGAATGAATGTGCTGGATGGCCAGTCACTGCCATCAGCTCGTGACTGAACAGTACCATGTCATATCATATTTGAGCCCCTGTACAACTGCTGAGGAGGAAGGTATAGGTTTACAAAGAATGGTGTAGACCAAAATTTAGCATGCTCTGTAGCAAGTCATGTGCATCCGCCAGCCAGTGTCCGTACCCCGAGGAAAGTACTCAGCAGGGAGTTGCATGTGGGCATCTTAGGGTACATACCACTCCCAAGCCTTTTCTGAATTCTCAGTGCAATTATCCCCCACAGATCCACCACAAGACCATAAATATGTTCATCAGGAACCCAGTTCTTTAGTGGCATTTCATAAAAAACAGCCTCTGCTTCAGTTAGATAGCAACAATGACCAAGCACCTCCATAACTATGCCGTATGTTACTCTGTCTGGCTCATATCCAGGATTCTGCATATCACGATGAGGTGTAATGCACCTGGGTACGTAATTCCTTGCTTTGGCATTCAAGGCAACCATAATATTGTAAGTCACTATGTTAAGCACACAGCCTGATTAATCATCTCGTGGAATAGCTTATGTGCAGCCACTAGATGGCCAGCTTTGCCAAGGCAGTTGATGATGACACTATACGTGAGCGTGTCTGGAGAAAGCTTTGCCTCTTATATCGTCTGGTGCATCATTGTGACAGATCACTGCTTTGACTGCATCTCCAGAAATCAGAGAACCTACTTTTACTGAAGTTTTGGGTACTAAGGCGGATGGTGTTCTTGAATGTTGCACTTCATTTCTTGTATCCTGCCTTCCCGAAATACAAGTTTCATCTTCAGAACTAGGGCATGAATTTCCAGCTGCTGCACTACATCGTGACCCACTGAGGAAAAGGCCAGCAGACTGTAAAAATGTAGCAACCTACTACGTTCTAAACACAATCAGCAAATTTGATGTAAAAAGAGACAAAATATTAGCCACATCTTCCACGAGAGGATTTCCAAAGGTCATGCAAATTTTAATAATAACATAAAAACTAGCATCTCAAGAAAGACAATGCACATATACCAGTCTGAGTCACACAAAAACACAAATACTTAACCTATCCACAGGTTACACTCCCAACATGGCAACGAAAAGCAGGAGGGAGGGACTAGATTAGCCAAGAGATCATAGTTACAGTTCAATTGTACATGAACAATTGTGGTCAATTTTCCTGTCCACAAAGGAACATGAAGGGAGTTGTGTTAATGCTGCTAAGAAACTAATTGATCTAAATCAGGTCAAAGTCACCAAACACATTGCAGAGAGGAGATATGTTAGTTATGTTATGTACTAGTACCACTCAACATGACAAAAGGATGTCAAGGTGAAAAACATCTTCACTGACAAAAAAATTAAAAAATAGTTGAAGCCAACAAGAGAAAAAGTATCACACAGAATGAAGCCGATTCATGTCTTTTGTAATGTAGCAGTCACTGATGAATTGAGCACTAAACTCTATCACACAATATGGCTTGCAGAAATTGAGTGTAATAACATCCATATTACATGATCAAGTTATGGATAGCATGAAATGATGAAAATCAAACTAAAACTATCACGTGTGCTTATGGATACCATTTTACATAACTCCAAGTAAGGATTCATACCTTCAAATTTTTTTTTTTTTGTCAGTGACTAGATAAGATTATCTATATATTTGGACTGTTGCAGCTTGCTGCTCACTCATCCCTAAATCGAACTTAGAACATCTTTAGATCTATAAGTCACTTGGAAAACTGGATTTTCTAATCTGTACAAGACCTTATCAATCTTAGAGATGGTAAATGACAAAACCTCATTTGCAACACCGTAGCAGACCATAGTTGCAAAATTCCCCAACAGCTATTTTTTTTGTTTGGGAGGAACTGCAAGATTATCAGGATTGTGGGGTCAATGCCTGCTGCCCTTAAGAAATACGGGTTACAGAATGGATTAGTGGTTGTAGTCACCGTAGGGGTGGCACAGACAATGTTAACAAGTTAATAGTAAAATCTATAGAATGGTGTGCGCATTGGCACAGTGGTGTATTTGATGATTCTTATGAAACTCAAATTAATTATCAGCCATAAAGTGATATTCAGGAAATGACAATTCTGTTTTATAATCAAGTTTGACCTCATTATTTTTTCTATTTCACTACAAGAGAAATTCACCGTTCTCTCATTTGGTTATTGATTTTACATGAAACAATTTAGTGTCGATATGCAATTTTATATATGTGCCCATCAGTTTAATGTTTGGAACCACAAACCAGCATGTTCTATGCTTTTTCCTCTTATCATCACCATGTTGTCAAGGCTACCTTTTTTTTTATAATGAACAGTAGAATACTGTTAAAAATCGGAGAAATGGAGCATATGGGAGGAGGAGAAGAAGTCCTCAATGGTCACAAAGAGAAAGTCCAAACAAGCTCAAAAAATAAAAGTGAAATATAAAGAAATGTCGTCAAATCTATGGATTGAAGGAAAATCCTCCCCCCCTCGACAAAACACAGAAGAAAAAAGCAAAATTCAGTTTTTGCATTGTTGGAAGTAATTCTATTCCTTCAAAGAGCGATAATCGAAGCAGAGTTTATTTTCAAAAGCAAAAGTATAAACTTGCAAAATTCTAACACCATAAACAAATGTAAGTAAACCCATTCAATCTTGATTCATTTACACCCAATTAGTCTTTCAACAAACAAAACGCCTTCCTTCACAGACATGAGTGACTTCACTATTTCTGAGTCAGTGGATATACACAAGCATCAACATTTACCAAAGAGTAAAGTTACATGATTTGAAAAAACTGATCTAATTTGCTGACGTAAAAAACTCGCCTCCTAAATCACTTAAGTGCATATAAGACACCCATCACCACTAGACATTCAATATAAAACTAAAAACCCAAATCAGAAATGAAATACACAAGCATCAATATTTAGTTCATCCATGAAAAAATCAACAGCAACACTGTAAATCACTAAACTACGCCCCAAAAACCAGTTATTCATTGCTCTTTCAACATAAGAACACAGCCCAAAAGCAGAAACAAACAGAAGCAGCTCTAACCCAGCAACCAAAAACACGATAATATATAGCCAGAGGAAGAGAAACACCCGAAATGTCATATCAGAGACTCCAAGGAGCTCTGGATAGAAGTGTCGAGAATGAAACAGAAGAAGGGTTAACAGCGCCGGCCGATTGTGTGTGTGTGTCTCTCTCATTCACTCACACACACACAAACACATCAACCTTGACTTTCCAAGCAACCTGGAGCTACGAGAGAGGGGCCGTCAGAGGACTCTGAATTTTTTAGTTAACGGCTAGGGTGTTCGGTTAGGGTGATGCATTTGTTATATGATATTCTCTCTGCCATGACAAAACTAGTAAAATAATGGGTAAATTTCGCTAACACCTCTTCGATTTAAATTATATTTTAGAGAGAATTACATACAAGCCCCTGACGTTTGTCACTTAATCACTTAAACCCTAACATTTAAAAAATTATACACAAACTCCTTAAGGTTTATACGCGCATAACACTTAGACCTACTGTAAATATATCCATTAATAAATTACACTTAAACTTCCTTAAAATTTATAGGTATATAATAATTAGACCCCTTAAGTTTAAAATATTATATTTAGACCAAAAATATTTCAATCAAAGATAGAATATCAAATATTTTAAATTTTACAATTAAAATTCTTATTCTATTGTATCATTTATTGAAATAAAATTAAAATTAAAATTTTAATTTTTTCTTAATAAATTGTAATTAATATACAATTATACTATCTATTAGAATAAAACTAAAAAATCAAATAAGGAGTTTAAGTCATTCATAATAGAACATAAATTTTTCATCCAAAATTAATGTTCTAATATATCATTTATTGAAATAAAATCAAAAATAAAAATTTAGTTTTTAAAAAAAAATCATAATTAGTATATAATTATAATATCTATTAGAATAAAACTAAAAAATTAAATAAGGGGTCAAATTGTAATAGACACAATATCTTTTAACTTTAATTGGTGTAGTTTGGTATTTTAATTTGGTTGTTTAAACAACCAAATTAAATTCCAATACACAATATAATTGTATACTAATTACGATTTTTTAAGAAAAAATTAAATTTTTATTTTGATTTTATTTTAATAAAAGATAAATAGAACATAAATTTTAATCGTAAAATTTAAAATATTTGATATTTTATCTTTGATTGAAGTATTTTTGGTCTAACTATAACATTTTAACTTAAGGGGTCTAAGTATTATATACCTATAAATTTTAAGGGAGTCTAAGTGTTACGCGCCGCGTACAAACCTCAGGATTTGTGTATAATATTTCAAATGTCAGGGGATCTGGGTGATTAAGTGACAAATTTTATGGAGTCTAAGTATAATTCTCCCTATATTTTATCCTAATTTTTGAAATACCATTACACACCCCTATAATTTATATATACGTTCTACAAACTACCTATGTAGTCTAATATCTGTACTGACGAGTAAAAAAAGTGTGACGTGATGACTTGTTCTCTTATGAGTTATTAAATTTATCTTTGCCATATAAAAAAAACTTAAAGTAGTACAAAACATTTTTTTAGTATTAATTTTATTAAATTAAATGCTAATTGGATTAAACAAAATATTTTCTATAAAAAAAATGGATTAAAAAATGTTAATTTAGTGTCAATTTTAAAAAATAAGATTAATTTGATAAAACTAAATATTAAATTAAAAAAATTAAATGTTAATTTTATGAGATTGAATGTTAGTTTGCTGAAATAAAATGATAATTTTATAAAATTAAAGATCCATTTTTCCTTAATTTGGTAAAATATTGTATTAATTTGATAAAATTGATAGTTAATTTGGTATTAGAATATTAATTTGGTAGTTAATTTGATGAAGTTTAATATGATTTAGATACATAAATGTTAATTTAGTGTTAATTTTATAAAATTGAATATTAATTTGGTATTAATTTTATAAAATTGAATGTTAATTTAACAAAGTTTGTGACCATGGTTAGATTAGGTTAGGTCATAACATGGAATAAAACAAAAAACAAAATAAAACTACAAGGGTAAAATTGAATAACACTCATGTAAATGGGAGTTTTAGAGCAACTCTAAAGGGAGTGGTATTAGGGGATGGTAACCCATAACTCTCAAAATATCACCCTAAATTCAAAAATATTCACTTCAACCGGGGGGTGACATTAAGAGTTAGAAAATGATATCAATGCACTTTGGGTGACAATTTTAGCAACTCTGGAGAGATAAAATGAGAGGTTACAAATAAGTTTAATTATATTTTTTAAGAGCAACTCCAAGGGAGATAACCGTTAAAATATATTAAAATATTTTGACAGTAATAAAAAATATTAAAATATTAAAATGACACCCTATTTTAGGATATGCTATTGGAGCAGATTTATAATTAAGGAATGTTAAAACACTGTTTAAGGTTGTAAATGAGTGATTTGGTACTAAAAATGACAACTCTTTTGGAGTTGCTCTTGTAGGGATAATTAAGTAAAATGACATTTTGTATTAGGTTTGTTAACCGACAAAAATTGCCAGAGGTATGCGGCGATATTTTTTGAAACTAGAGAAATATGACTTAAACCCATGTGGTGTTAGTAAAATATGACTTAAACCCATGACGTGTTAGTGAAATTTATCTAAAATAATTTATGTGTATTTTCATTATTTATGCTAATTTGGCCCGGAATATGACCCGGTAAAATTTTCTGCCTTGGCCCTATCTCTTCGGGTCAGGCCTTGCCTGCCAGTGGGCCACCCAGCCAATGACCATTGACCACCCCTATCAGGGAGCATAGTTACCCATCATAAAAGGACCTTTGAGCAGTATGCATGCAGATAAAGCAAAAAAAATGTTATTTACACCTAATTTAGATACTTAACTAATAAAAACTGTTGGATTGAAATTAAGTTTCATATAATATTGAAATTCACACAAATTTCAATGGTTATTGATGAGCTCAGATTCAGCTTGGTCCAGACCCGATTCACGGGATAAGTCCAAATCAATTAAAAGGCAGGTTAAACTTAGTTAATGACTTCAGCCCAATCCAAAGTCCAAGAGACCCAAGAAGATCAACTAGCGTGGGAAGCAATCATCGGAATAGTCACTACTCGAAGATCATGCCAATCCTTAAGTTATACATATCCTCAATTGTAGCTATTCTCCCCAACCTAACCTTTACGCTACCGCCTCAATTAAGGCTCCATACTTACAAATTGTAAGTCATCTTTATACATGAAGGACACACAGTTATCTCTTATACACCGCACCCTGAGCTTATCCTTGCTCTCTTTCTTTTACTTACTATTTTATTTTCTCATTAATAAAGTTTTTCAGTCATCGTCATCGCCTTCAAGGTCACTTGGGCCCATCCACCCAATCTTTGTTTTCTGTTATTAATTGCTCCATTAATTACCTTATATCATACACTCGATTGATTTATATATGCATAACCTATTTTATGCATCATCAATTATAATAAATTAAATCCTCAAATTAAGGCCCTGCACTATTGCTTCGCAGAGATATTTGGCGGTATGCTTTCCTTCCCAAGGATCTGAAAAACATATCTGCTGAGAAGGCTCATACTGGAATAGGGTGGTTCAAGCAAACTTTGGGCTGAGCACCTAATCCAATTTCATAATGGGTTAGCTCATGCTACTCAATCAAGTAACATTACGTCAACAGTTGGCCTACCTAAACCCTTTATCTATTTTAAAGATAAAAGACAGCACAATTAGCTTGCAAAAAAAAGAGTTAAATGTACGTAATTTTATATG